TTCTTTTTTTTTTTACCTTAACAGCAGGATACAGGTGTTTCCTTTTAAGTATATTTTCAGATTTATGCAAGTCATTAATAAGCCTTTAATTTGAAAAGAACGTTACTGATTTAGGAATATTAATTCAGTCAATGTGTTGACAGTTAAGGACAAACTATAAATTACGACGGCAATATTACCTTATATCTCGGCTGTCTGAAAGGCTGCTATTGATTTAAAAGCTGGTAAGCTGCAAGGCATTTAGCCATAAACCTGGCTCATAAAATGACTGTAATCTGTATTGGCTTTTTTATTGTGCTGATGGAGGTATATTCAGAAAGGTATGTATGCCAAAAGCTAATGTTGATTACATAGTGATTCAGAAGTGGGAAGAATATGAATTTGGAAAAGACCCCCTGATCAAGTTTCTCACCCATGAATTTACTAGGCAACCCTCATTCCTTTACATTAGTGTGAATATCACAGGTAGTTTTCAACCAACGACCTCAATTGAGGCCCAAATTGCTAAGGCAGACAGTTGTTAAGTGAGCTTGGTCACATTTCTTGCTCCAGAGGTTAAGAGAACAGCTGCCGTTATTTTGTTATTTTGTTTTTTTTTAAGTGAGTGACACGGCGGTTGTGTGAATCTTGCTTCCCTGTTGATTTTGCTGGTCAGAAAATCACAGAGGTTCAGGGGTGAAACACTCCTGGTTCGGACCGGATCGTTTGATCTGGTAGCGATGGAGGCGGGTGGTTCGGAGAACCGGTAGCAAAAATCCCTGCCCCCCCCACCATGCCCAGCTGAGCCGCACGATCATCAGAGGCTTTTTTTCTTTTAAATGCCTCTGACGATCCCAGCTGAGTTGCCTGATCGTCCGAGGGTTTTTTTAAAAACTCTCGGACGATCAGGCAACTCAGCTGGGATCGTCAGAGCCTTTTGAAAGCATTTTTTTTTACAACCTCTTCGCTGAAGAGGTTGTAGAAAAATTGGTTTTAAAAGTAAAAAAAATAAAATAATTGGCCACGCCCACCCAGTCACATTACCGCCCCCCCCACCAAGCCACGCCCACAGAACCGGTAGTAACAAATTTTAGATTTCACCACTGCAGAGGTTGAATGATCACGCAACCCCCGGGACACGGCAACTGATTTTTCTTTGAAGAGGTTTTGCTTCTCATCTAAGAAGCTTCTTCAGTTCTGAACTGAAGACGCTTCTTGGATGAGAAAAAGCACCTTTGGGGAAATTGGCCAACAGACATTAAATCCTTACGCAGATTCCCCCCCCTCCCCCCGAATTTGATATTTATATTTTGGTTTCAACCTTTCCTCCTCCTCCTCCTCCTCCTCCTCCATCTCCTCCTCCTTTTCTCTTTCTCTTTCTGATTCTCCTCCTCCTCTCTACAGAATACAAAATAACTTGAGTTGGAAGGGTCCTTGGAGGTCTTCTAGTCCAACCTCCTGCTGAAGCAGGAGACTTTATAGCAGTGATGGTAAATCTTTTCAGCACCGAGTGCCAAAAAGGAAACGTATGCACGCTCATCAGCTGCGCAACCCGGAAAGGAGGAGCTACAAAGGGGGCATGCGTACACATGCACGTGCCCGGAAATTAATTTCCAATTTCTAGCATGCGCATGTGCACCGGCCACCTAATCTTCTGGTTACTGGCGTGCATGCACGCACAACGAATAGCTGGCCGGGGTGCATGCTCATGCCAGAAAATATTCCAGTTTCCAGCACTGCCACACACACAAAGGCCAGCTGATCATTGCACACACATGTACACAAGAAATCCGAACGGGTGCCGCCGCGAGTGCCATGCGAAATGGCTCCATGTGCCACTTCGGGCATGCGTGCCATAGGTTTGCCATCATGGCCTTATAGCATTCCATAAAAATGGTTGTCCAATCTCTTCTTGAAAAAGCTCCAGTGATGGAGCACCCACAACTTCTGGAGGTTAATTGTTCTCACTATCAGAACATTTCTCCGTAGTTCTAGGTTGCTTCTCTCCTTGGTAAGTTTCCATCCATTGCTTCCTCTCCTCCTCCTAGCCCCGTGATGGCGAACCTACGGCACGTGTGCCACAAGTGGCACGCATAGCCATATCAGTGGGCGCGCCAGCCAGCTGATTTTTGGGACTTCTGGGCCCACCAGAAGTAGGGAAACAGGTTGTTTCCTGCCTCCAGAGGGCATCTGGGGAGGGCTCTGGAGGCTGGGGACAGCAAAAAATGTCACTTCCTACCCAACCAGGCATTGGGAAATGGGCTGTTTCAGGCCTCCGGGGGGCCTCCAAGGGGGTGGGGAAGGCTGTTTTTGCCCTCCCCAGATGCATAGAGAGGATCTGGAGCCAGGTGAGAAATAAAAACAGGCCTACCGGGCCATCATGTGCCAGGAGCACGGGGGGGGGGGTTGCACGTGCATGCGCAGGGCGGGGCGCATAGAATTATGGGTGTGGGCACGCACGTGCGTGAACCTCCCCCTCCTGGCACGCGATGGTAAAAAGGTTAGCCATCACTGTCCTAGCCATTGTCTATCCACTTCAGGATGAAGGCCTCTTCTGCATGTTTCCAACCCATATGGTTGGGAACTGAGCTTTCTATTTCCAACTGGGCCCGCCATCCTTGCTGTTGTCCTCTCTCCATCTTGTTTTAGGTCTCTTCCGTGGACGCTTTTGATCAAGCGAGATCCATTCTATGACCAACCTTGGTCTGCCTGCTGTCAGTTCTCCTCGCTCTACTACCAGCCCTTTTCCATTTCAATTCTTTTTCCTCTTTTGATGGCATTGTATACTTTCCTTTGTTCTCTAATCCACGCGTGGGTCTTTCTATCTTGTCTTGTGATGCCAAGCATGGATCGTTCATGGCTTTGTGCCACTCGTAGCTTCTTTATTGATTGTGAGATTATTCAACCTATAAACTGAGGTAAATATCTGTTACAAACTTTACAGGCAACAGATACCTACCAAATCTGAAGAGCTAATTCTTTTATAATTCATGGACGTCTTTTTACATATCAAACCTCTCTTGATTTCCCTCACCTGCTAGGTGGAATACTGAAGTGCATGCCAATTGTACAGAGAGAAGAGAGTGAAATGAATCATAGTTCAATTGCTTATTATAAAAGCACTCAGCAGAGAATACGCATTTGACTCTCATCTTTCCCAAAGGTGAATTCTGATCGATACCGAAAAAAAGGGTCTATTTCTTAACTGCAATAGATCCACAAACTGGGAAACTTCTGAGATATAAATTGACAGTTTTGGTCACGAAGCTCCCTTTAAGCATCAAAGGCCAGTAATGCACTCATCCATTGGATGTCACGCCAGTGTAAAGTCAGACAATCCCTGTGGTTCTTCCTGTAGCTCCGGCAGAAAAATCAATGTCAAAGCTACTCTGTTTTTGGCTGGCGTTTTATGCCAGATCAGATGCATTGGATGCATTGAGAGAATCCTCATCCCAGGATTCATTCCAACAGTTGGAACTACATCCAATAGCAATAGCAATAGCACTTAGACCCGGGATGGCGAACCTATGGCACGCGTGCCACAAGTGGCACACGTAGCCATATCAGTGGGCACACCAGCTCAGCTCTGGTGCGGATGTGCACACCAGCCAGCTGATTTTTGGGCCTTCTGGGCCCACCAGAAGTAGGGAAACAGGTTGTTTCCTGCCTCCAGAGGGCATCTGGGGAGGGCTCTGGAGGCTGGGAACAGCAAAAAATGTCACTTCCTGCCCAACCAGGCATTGGGAAATGGGCTCTTTCAGGCCTCCGGAGGGCCTCCAAGGGGGTGGGGAAGGCTGTTTTCCCTCACTGTTTTGGAGAATGTGAGTGAAGCCTATGACTCACTCCTTATATGATCATAACACTTCCTATGATACATAATAGGGTGGGAATGGAGATTTTGCAGTATCCTTCCCCTGCCAAGCCCGCCAAGCCATACCCACAGAACCGGTAGTAAAAAAAATTGAATTTCACCACTGGTCTATAGATGTTGTTCATGTCTATGTGTCTGTCGATGGTTGATTTGTCAGAGCGCCAGACTTCTAGAAATTCCCTGGCATTTTTGGACTTGGTCTGGTCTAGGATGGTCACATTTTCCCCAATTGGAACTAGTCTTCAATCTGTCTATAAGTTGTGGAATTAAAGAATTTTCCTCATGTCTTCTTTGATGGCCTGGTTTCCTTTTACCTCTAACTCTTCCAAACATAATTGCGTTCTCCAGTAATTTCCCCCACACGACGTGGCCAAAGTAAGTGAGACGCCGTTTCATGATGTTGACTTCCAGTGATGTGTCTGCTGTTTTTTTAGTCCTTGTTTGTTTTTTAGTCCTTGTTTGTTTTTTAGTCCTTGTTTGTTCCTTTGCTATCCAAGGAACACACAGGAGCTTTCTCCAGATGAGTCAATTTTCTTCCCGTCCTCTTTTTTTAAGCTCCAACTTTCACAACCATAGGTAGCTATTTCTTCTTGTTGTGTCATATCTGCATTGGACGTTGGCAATCAGGTTGGCGATCCCATTTTTATCAATAGCCGCACTAAAAAGTGTTGTTGAATTTTGTCCAAACCTTAGATTCTGAAGCCATGATGTCCTTCTTCTGCCTGGACCTCATTTGCCTTCAATCTTTCCCTGGAGGATTAAGTGAAGGATGCCATATTTTTCCCGGGTATCGCATCACATGCCCAAAATATTCTAACTTTCATTTTTTAATGGTTTTTAATGATTTCCCTTGGCTTTCCCTAGGCGGCTTATCACCTCCTCATTTCTGATTTTGTCAACCCAACGTATACGTAACAGTTGCTTGTAAATCCACATTTCAAATGTTTCAAGTGGACTTTCTGTCAGAGACCAACTCTCCACTCCGTAGAGTAGGATAGAAAAGATGTAGCATCTGACAAACCTGATTTTCAACCTTAGGCTTACGTATAGGTAGCTACAGGGAAATGTCAAATATTCTGGAGACATGGATTTGTTTGTAATCTTCCACGTGTAAACATTCTGGTTTTTTTCCCCCCCTTCTTGATTATAGGAAACTGTGATCATGGCCCAATTAAGAACATCAGCCAACCGTACGTCATCCAGCTGAATTGGAGAGGGTTTTCTTACAAATACGGAGCCTGGGGAAGATACTCCTCCCCTCTTAACCCTGGAAAAGAGATGTACTGGGTCGCCCCTCTAAACACCGACGGAAGATACCTGGAATTTTATCGACTCCACAATTCCTACGACGATTTATTGCTCTTCAAATACTCCCAGCAATACCAAATTAAGTACGGCGAAGGCAGTGGAACAGCTGTGCATAATAATTACATGTACTATAATGTATATTCTTCAAGAGATATGGGCATGATAGATTTGGCCACCAATAGGCTGGTGTTGAGGAAGCCTCTTCCCAACGCCGTTTTTAACAATCGGTTCTCCTACGCAGGGGTAGCTTGGCAAGACATAGATTTTGCCGTGGATGAGAATGGGTTGTGGGTGATTTACTCCACCGAAGCCAGTCAAGGCAACATTGTCATTAGCAAGATTAACGAAACGACTCTGGATGTGATGAACACGTGGGAAACGAAGCAATACAGGCCCGCGGTCTCTAATGCTTTTATTATATGCGGGGTACTCTATGCTACCAGACCTCTCAACACTAGGAAAGAAGAAATATTCTACTCCTTCGATATCAACACTGGGAAAGAAGGGAGGCTAAGCGTCATTGTAGATAAAGTGCTGGAAACTATTCAGAGCATCAACTACAGCCCTATAGATCGGAGGTTGTACATCTATAATGATGGCTACTTGGTTCGCTACGAGTTAAATTTCGAGCCCCTTCCGCCAGCGTAATTTTCCAGGGGGATTAAAAAGCTTCACTCTCCAAATCCTTAGAAATATTGAGAAATCCAAGCACAAAGGGGAACAAAGATTGGATCCATTTGCAAATCATCATCAAGCCTAGCAAAGGGAGGGGTGGAGTGGCCCAGGGGGTGGAGCTCTCGCCTCACAATCAGGAGGCAGTGAGTTCGATCCTAGGTAGAGGCAGATATTTCTCTCTCTCTCTCTGGGCACACTGAGAATTTATCTGCTGAACAAAACTCCACACTGGCGACAGGAAGGGTATCCGGCCATTCAAACACTCTGCTAACCCCATTCAGTTGCCCCCCAGGCTCCACCCCGCAAGGGATTATGGGGCCGTTAAAGTGATGATGATGATGATGATGAAGCATAGGAAAGAAAATTTGCTGATCACTTCATTAAAAATATTTTTTAAAAAAAAAAAATCCAAAAACAGGGTTTGGGTAGAGTAGAGGTGATATAATCAATGTATCAGGAGGGAGTTGAAAAGAATTGTGTGTGTGTCCCACCCCAATTGTGTGTTTTTAATAGTGGTTATACACTTCTGTTTTCTGAAAGAAAAACGATCCAAATTTATCTACCCTGTTTTCCCCAAAATAAGGCATCCCCTGATAATAAGCCCAATTGGGCTTTTGAGTGCATGGCAATAAGACCAAGCGCTTATTTCAGAGTTCAAAAAAAATAAATCAAAATAAGACAGGGTCTTATTTTTGGGGAAACATGGTACTTTGTGGCCAAATTTGGCACAGGTTTTGGTGAGAACTGTTTTTGTGAAAAGAGGCTTAGGGTTTAAATTTATATTCAACCCAACAGACCAAATCGGTTTCAGATCCAGTGGCTTCCTAATTTTGTTGATCTTCATTCCTTGATTATGTTTTTTTAATACCACAAAGTATTATGCAAACACATAACAGTTTGATTATTTTATGGTCCAGTGTGTGGTGTTGAACCTAAAAAAAAATAAAATTAAACCAGCTTCAGCGTGTTGGGTTAACACTTTAACCCCAATACTGTAAATATTTGGGTAGATAAGACAATCTATTTTAGTAGAGTTTGGGTCACGTAAAAGAAGTGACCAGTTTCATTTAAAAAAAAAAAAAAAGCAGTACGGGTAGTTCTTGACTTACGACCCCGATTGAGTGCAAAATTTCTGTTGTTAAGCGAGACGTTTGTTCAGTGCGTTTTGCCCCATTTTGCGACTTTTCCTGCCACAGTTGTTAAGTGAATCACTGCAGTTGACATAAGTCACATGGTTGCTAAGTGAATCTGGCTTCCCCCTTGACTTTGCTCATCAAAAGGTCGCAAAAAGGGGATCACACTGCAACCGGTCGTAAGTACGAACCGGTGGCCGAGCGTCTGAATTTTGCTCATAAGACCATGGGGGTGCTTCAACGGTCGTAAGTGTGAAGAAACGGTCATATGTCACTCTTTTTCGGTGCCGTTGTAACTTCGGTCACTAAATGTTGTAAGTAGAGGACGGCCTGTACTTAAATTAGGATAATTGCCTTGAGTGACATCTGTAGAGAGGGTTGAGGATCAAAAAAAAATTAAGATGGCAGTATGAAGGGGCGTGGCTTCAATCATGCTGCCATGACAACCATTTTGATGCGTATTGGTCCCAATCAGCTGTATTAGCATCTGTCTGTCTAAATCCACCAATTTTCGACAATTGTTGTGTATATTTGCTAATGCATAAAATGTAATTTTTTTGTGGGGGGCTCAATAAAAATTAAAAAAACATTGCCTTAATCTCAGCCACAGGATTTTTCTATATATAATTTTGTTTTTACTCTACTCCACCATCCAAATAAATGGATATTTTCTTTAACATTTCTTCTCTTGAGGCGAAAACCCTGCTTTCTCCATTGCTCCCAACCTTCCGACTGCAATCATGGCTTGCTGAGAAAATGTGTTTCTATCACAATGTGTGTGCTGTCTGCTTCGGTCACAGTCTGAATGTGTGTCAGGGGTTCCGACTGGGTGGAATTTACAACTCTTCTTTGCCATGGAGTAAAAAAAGCCTCCTGGGGCGTTCGTGAAACATTCCTGTGGAATTAAGGCGACCGGCATTGCATGCTCGTTCGTTTCAGTGGGGTTTGCTTAAGAAATCTCTCAGGGGGTATGTGTCATGTTGTTTGCAAAATGTCAGCCCCGGCGTAGGTTTGTGCAAAGCTATTTCTTCCCCTGTGCTTCTCCGTTTTGCTGAGAACGTAAAAACAATGGCTCCTGGAATCTTTCATTGGGGATTCACTTAAGGTTTCTTCTGGCCAATCCAGTTATTGAAGCGTCTTAACAGAAAAACAAAGTTGGAAGGGACTTGGAGGCCTTCTAGTCCAACCTTCTTCTCAAGCAGGAGACCAGGGGTGAAATGCTACCGGTTCGCACGGGTTCGTCCGAACCGGTAGTGGTGGCGGCGGGTAGCTGTCGTGGAGGTTTTGTAGACCGTAACCTTATCCGCTTACAAATGCACCATACAGACGAGTCAGAGGAGTTTAAAACAAACTAGCTTAATAAAACGAACAAAGCAAAATCTACAAAAGAATATCAGTTGTCATCTCCTTTTCAGCAATGTCCATTCAGCTCTTTTAGAGTTGCTCCATGCGATTGGAGCCCGGGTCTTCCTTCCTCAGATGGAGGTTTTAGTGACTTCAGCTCTTGTCTCTGACCTAGGAACTAATAAGTAGTAAGGAAGGTAAGTAAAGTAAGGTTTCCCACTGGAGAGCAGTTCCTTATATACTGAGTGAGTGTCAGTTACAAAGCCCGAGAAACTCAGAGTCAATTGCTGCGCGCTGATTGGTCCATTCAAACATTCAAACCAGAAACCAATCAATAGGCACGGCAAACCGTGAGAGAACTTTTCTCTCACAGTAGCGGCGGCAAACCGGTAGCGGTGGCAGTGTGAGGCTCCACCCACCTGCCCGGAAGTCGTTACTTCCTGGATTTAACCCTATGCGTATGTGCAGAAGGCTTTGCGATGTGGAAAGGGTCCAATATCGCATGTGATGTACGTGTGCGCGCTCACTTCCGAACCGGTAGGGAAGGTAAGTAGATTTCACCCCTGCAGGGTGAGTATACCCTATACCAGTGATGGCAAACCTTTTCGGCACTGAGTGCCGAAAAGGGAGTGTGCGTGTCACAACCTGGAAGAGGAGCTGCCCAGGGGGCATGCGCGCGCTAGAAGATGAACTTCCGGTTTCCGCCACGTGCATGCACGCCAGCCAGCTAGTTTTCCGGTTACTGGTGCACATGGGCACGATGATCAGCTAGCTGGCGTGCATGCTCATGCCGGAAAACAGAAAACCAGGTCTTCCAGTTTCTGGCACTCCCACACGGACAAAGGCCAGCTGATTGTCATGTGCGCATGCATGCCAGAAACCCAGAAGAGGAACGGGCGATGTTGCACATGCCAGGTGACATGGTTCCGTGTGCCACTGTGGGCATGCATGCTATAGGTTCGCCATCACAGCCCAATACCATTTCAGACAAAATGATTGTGTCAGGGTTCCAAGTAACGGCCCATAGGAAGTCAAAACTCCAAGACGGGGTTCCTCAAAGTATAGATTTATTAGGCATGTCATATTGGCACAGCTGGTGAAAACCCGAATCTGAAGTCCTCCGGGTTTTCCCGACCCAGTTCAAAATCCAAAGTTCTTCCCCTCATTACACACAACCATCCCATGCTCCAAGCAGGTCTCTCTTCCCATCCCGGATGCCTCTCATCTACGCTCCTCCAGGTGCTGGTGAGGGTGTCCTTGGTACCCAGAAGAAAGAATGTTATTTTGGCTACATATTCCCCTCAGCTATCTACTTCTACTCCCCGCTCCCTTTCCCACAGCTGTAGCCAGCCTCACTCTGGCAACCCTGAAGGCACTGAAAGATGACTCCAAAGTGGACAGATTGTCCGAAGTCTTCTTAAAAACCTCCAGAGATGAAGCATCCACAACTTCTGAAGTCAAGCTGTACCACTGGTTATTGTTCTCATAATTAATTGTTCTCACAATCAGGAAATTTTTCCTTCATTCTAGGTTGGATCTCTCTTTAATGAATAATAGAATAACAGAGTTGGAAGGGACCTTGGAGGTCTTCTAGTCCAACCTTCTTCTCAAGCAGGAGACCCTCTACCATTTCAGACAGATGATTGTCCAATCCCTTCTTTAGGAGCTCTAGGGTTGGAGCACTCACAACTTCTGAAGGCAAGCCGTTTCACTGGTTGATTGCTCTCACAATTAATTGTTCTCAAAGAGTTGGAAGGGACCTTGGAGGTCATCTAGTCCAACCCTCTGCTCATGCCATTTCAGATAGGTGGCTGTCTAGAGAAGCATGGGGTTCCCCATAAGAGGAAAGATTAGTATCAAATTATTTAAATTCTGGGATGGGAATGGAATGGAATGGAATGGAGTGGAGTGGAGTGGAGTGGAGTGGAGTGGAGAGGAGTGGAGTAGAGTAGAGAAGAGAAGAGAAGAGTAGAGTAGAGTAGAGTAGAGTAGAGTGGAGTGGAGTGGAGTAGAGTAGAGTAGAGTAGAGTAGAGTAGAGTAGAGTAGAGTAGATGGAGTGGAGTAGAGTAGAGTAGAGTAGAGTAGAGTAGAGTAGAGTAGAGTAGAATGGGACCTTGGGGTCTTCAAGTCCAGCCCCTTGCTCAACCAGGAGACCTTATAGCATGCCAGACAAATGGCTGTCTGGGTCTCTTCTTAAAAAGCCTCCAGTGATGGAGCACCCACAACTTCTGGTGGCAAGCTGTTCCACTGGTTTATTGCTCTCGCTGTTAGGAAGTTTCTCCTTAATTCCAGGTTGCTTCTCTCCTTGCTTAGTTTCCATCCGTTCTTTCTTCTCTTGCCTTCTGGCGCTTTGGAAAATCAGTTGGCCCCTATTTTTTATTTATTATTATTATTTTGACCCCTACTCAAAATAAATAATCAATATGTATCATTTCATTTTGATCCCTAGTCTTGCTTAGAAGAATCTCACAAACGTTGCAAAATTCCACTCTTAACATTCAATATCGAAATGGGGCTGCATCACCCCTTTTCGTTTTGATGTGCTAAGATATTTGTAATGCCTTGTTAGCTTTCATCCTGCCTCTGGGACGAAGGGGCTAATCCTTTTAAATTGCTGGCCGGAGAATGCTTATGTTGCACAATATTTTGTCCTAAGAAATGGGCTTCCCACCATTTGCATTTTTCTCTTTGACAGTTAGCAAGGTGATGTAATCTGATTTACAAGGAGGGTTATTGCCATCCTTCTCGTGTTCTTCACTTAGAGCATGTTCAAAAGTGATTTACTTGTATCAGGAATCTTAGAACATTACCGGCATTGGAAGTTTTGTTTCGTGCCTATTTTGTTTTTAACCATTTAGTCATATCGGACTCTTGGTGACTTGATAGGCAACTACTCTCCATGCCAAACTTGTCAAGCACAGCTTCTTTCAATTGTTGTATGTTCGGCTTTGTTTCTACAAACTTTAAATTTTAGTCCAAACATTACTAATCCAATGTAATACAATTATTTCTGATAGGCTCCTCTCCTTTCTATTCTTATGAATCAAATCAAATTGAATTGAATTGAATTGAATGGAATGGGATGGAATGGAATATAGAAAATAAAGAATAGAATAGAATAGAATAGAATAGAATAGAATAGAATAGAATAGAATAGAATAGAAAATATGGAATGGGATGGGGTGGGATGGGATGGAATAGAATAGATATTGTAATGAAGAATCGAATCGAATCGAATCGAATCGAATAGAAAACATGGAATGGGAAGGGATGAGATGGACTAGACTAGACTAGACTAGACTAGACTAGACTAGACTAGACTAGACTAGAATAGAATAGAATAGAATAGAATAGAATAGAATTCTTCATTGGCCAAATGTGATTGGACACACAAGGAATTTATCTCCGGTGCATAAGCTCTCAGTGTACATACATGCAACAAGTGACAAATCATGATCATAATCACAAAATAAATCATAATCTACAACACTCAGTGATAGTCAGAGGACACTAAATACAAGCTATTAACATAAATTCACGAGATACAAACAACGAAGTGATTGTCATAAGTTGCTAAAGGAATAGGTAAACCAAAAGATGAGGAAAATAATATCAACGCAGCCGTACTGGGTGGTTTGGCATCCCAGGGCATAAGACAGTGTTGTGGGAATTAGTTGTTTAGCAGAGTGATGGCACATGGAAAAAAACTGCCCTTGTGTCTAGTTGTTTTGTTGTGCAATGCCCTATAGCCTCGTCTGGAGGGGAGAAACAGTTTATGTCCAGGATGTGAGGGGTATGTAGATATTTTGTATGAGATTTGATGTTGTCAAGCCAGTGTGTGTTGTGACCTAGGCCCAAATAGTTAGTATCAGAAACAATCAGTCTCTAAACAAACATATTTTATTAGAATAGCTGAGAATTATTTCATTCTCAGATTAGTCCAAATAAAATCCAAAACAAATTGTTCATAAACAGTCCTTTGGCTTTATCACCAACCTTTGTCTACTTTGGCACCCTGCCGAAGGCTTCTCTTGGCAAAAGTTCAGAAGCAAGAGACGCCCACAAGAAACAAATGTAGCAATGTTGCTCTCCTACAAAGATCACAAGAGCTGTTGCTGGTCTTTTAAGCCTTCTGGGAGAGACCAATCATCTCCTGGCCTTACTCCTAAGTTGTCCTTTTTGCTTCAGCTGCTCTTACCTTCTGGCAGCTCTTCGCATGCATGCACTAGGAACAGGCTCCTCCTGTTCCTCTG